GATCAACCAGAAGTGATTGTAGGTGTTTCCCATATTTGGCTTTGACCCAATTCTCTTCTCTTGAAAATCTCTCTTGATAACCTTATACTTCTAAGATTTCAATAATGGGAAAAAAAACTTATAAAAATGTATGTGAAGCAGAAAAAAAAGGAATAGATGATGCATTAACCATTTGATGAGTACTTCTCAACCTTTTTGTGCCCCAGACCCTTTGGCAGTCTGATGAAGCCTCTGGCCTCCTTCCTTGAACAATGTTTTTAAAGGTATAAATTGAAATACATAGGATTGCAAAGGAAACCTATAATGTTGAAATAGGTTATCAAACATATTTTTGAAAAACCAAATTTGTGATATAGTAATGTGTATTCTGCATTACCTATTCATGAAATAACAAGATCTGCTGACTACCGTCATTTCATAGCGGTGATGAATACTTGGAAATGTCAGCAATAACTACCATAGTATGAAAATTCTTAAAGGTGACGGAATCACAAGTTCTTTTAATATTCCTGTGGCTCTTTGCCTATAACTGAAGGGAATGTTAAATTTCAGTTAAAGGTGAGGGAGAATAGGGGCCAGTCCAATGGCACAGTGGTGAAGTTCTCACGTTCCGCTTCTCGGTGGCCCGGGGTTCGCTGGTTCGGATCCCGGGTGCAGACATGTCACCGCTTGGCAAAAGCCACGCTGTGGTAGGCGTCCCACGTATAAAGTAGAGGAAGATGGGCACAGATGTTAGCTCAGGGCCAGGCTTCTGCAGCAAAAAGAGGAGGATTGGCAGCAGTTAGCTCAGGGCTAATCTTCCTCAAAAAAAAAAAAGAAAGAAAGAAAGAAAAAATGAGGGAGAATAAAGATCAAGCTCATAGATCCCCCTGAATTCCATCCATGGATCCAGAGTTAAGAACACCTGGTCTAAAGATTTCTGAAAGAGACTGGGAATCCTTATTTGTGTGCCTGTGGGAAGCCACAGGGGATGGTGTGAAGAAAGACAAGATGCGGAGCCATCTACCATTGTGCAGTTACTCTACATCCCTTATTTCACACTTGGCTTATCTGGGCTGCTTGAGTCTCCTCTTTTCTTTCTCAGCATGTCGCTTATATTGAAGTCAAATTGAAACTAGTCGGTTCTTCTATTTGTTAGCAGCTGTTGTGTTTTGATTTTGTTTGTTGGGGGAAATCCTTTTTTGTTTGATTTTTAAATATATTCATTAGTTGTAAGGGAGGCTGAAACCGCTGATTATCTGGGGTCATTTCTTCATGCTATGTCTAGTTTCTGTTAACATAGATAATTGGGCTTTAAATGTGGATGGAATTAAAATAGCCAACTTCAGCCTCTGTCTGTTGCCTTCAACGATTTTGAAGTAGATAAAAAAAAAATCCCCTCTCTCCGCCTTTTGGACCTCTCTGGAGAACCTTGGCTTCTTGAACACCGCCTTCTGCTGGACTTGACCTCTCTTGTCTTCCTGCCTATCTAAGGATCCTTTCTGAATCTTCTTCGCTGTTTCACACTCTACCAACCAGAAAAATGTAGGCATTTCCCCTACATTAGCCTTTGGGCAAGTTTTCTCTTCTTCTTTTCCCCTTGATAATCTCTCCCAATCCCCAGTCTACCTCCTTTCCCTGTATTCCTTGTCAGTTGTAATGGACCCCACCTCCCTCCATCTTCCCAGCTGTTCAGATTTTAATGAAACTCAGCAGATGTTCTTTGAACATTTACTGTGGCCTGAGCAATATGTTAGGGATTGGGGCAACAATACTTAACCAGTAGAGCAGGTCCCTGCCTTCATACACCCTGCAGTCTGTCAAGGAAAGTCAACCTTGTTCAAGAGTGATGAGTAGGTTGAAAGAGGAGGAACAGGTCACTGTGGGAATTGATAATAAGGAGGATCGAGCCCAGTTTGGGGGCATAGCAAAGCCTATCAGAAGAAGTGATGTTTAAGTTAGGACTTTGAAGGTTAATTGCAAGATAGCCTAACAAGCAGTGTAGGAATTGGGATTGGGTAAAAAAAACTATGAAAAGCCAAAGTCTAGGGAAACTAGCAGGGAAGGAGGAAAAGACGTCTGCTGTGGCTTTGGTGTAAAATTCAAAGAGGGCTTTTGAGTCCAGTGAGGCTGCAAAGAGGCAGGGCAGATTGGTAAACACTTATCAACGCTGTTGGGGGTTAGAAGGTGACATCATCCTAAGGACAGTGGGGCAGTTTTAATCAGGCAGCAGAGATTTATATTTTTAAGTCTTTATAAATATAAATCTTTATATTTTAAAATATTTAGATTTATGTTTTTAAATGATTAACCCAATTATAGTGTGGAAAACGGTTTGGAGAGGGGCAGAAATCCATGTAAGGAGACCACTGGAGGTGGTTATGGTAGCCCAAGTAAGAGAAGATACTGTGGCCTTGCAAGAAAATCTCAGACTATCATTGACTCCTGTTTCTCCTTTACCTGTTCCTCACACCCATCAAACATGAAATCTTTTAAGACTTGGTTTCTAGAGTCTCCATTACATGCATGCCTCCTTTTGTTCCCATTGACCTGATTCAAACTTCCTGTTTTTCTTTCCTGAGGTTTTGCAACGGCATCTACTCTACTGGCTTGTAATCTTCTGGTCTCCTTTTTCTCCATTCTGGTCGTATACAGGTGTGCTGTCAGAGCTGGCCCCAGAAAACACACTTGGGAGCTCCCAAATGCATAAAATTAAGTCCAAAGTCCTTTTCATGGTTCACAATTTTCTACAATGTGATCCCTACAGATGCCACCTGTCTTCTTCACCATTGCAAGCTCCTGCCCTCATTCTCCTACCTACCACTCCCCTTGGCTCACCAACTCACAAATATCCAAATACACTATATTTTATGAGCTTTTCCTTCTACCTAGAATATCTTTCTCTTCCAGCTCTCCCATAAAAGGTCCATCTTTGAAGACTCATTTTAAGTCCCACGTCCTCAAGTTCCAGATATTCCCAACCAGAATTAATTTTTCCTTCCTGCCCGCGCTCCAATGGTACTTTAGATGATGCATTATCCATCTAAGTAAATTTCTTACTCTTGTTTCACCATTTCTTAGAGTCTACCTTTTCTTTGAATCATTATGTATGGGACAGGCTCTTTCACTAGATTATAAATTCCAGAGGACTAGAGAGATTGGTCATCGTTATTTCTGTTGCATACAATGATTTGCTTTTGCTATGCTTATAAAAGCTCAACAAATGCTAAATTAGGTTGCTGATTGTGGGGGGGGGGGGGGTAATGGGATCCCAAAATTGTGAATGTCTCTGGGTCATATACCCAAACCCCATTCTGGCTATTGTAGGGGAGGAAGAAATTTTCCTGTCCCCTTCTAGGTTCTTCTGACTGGTGTAAGAATTAAATTGACACGAGACAGAATAACAGGAGAAATCAAACAAAATTTAATAACATGTATAAATGGGAGAAACCCAAGAAAACCAAGCAGCTTGCCAAAATGGCCAAAGCCCTTACATTAAATACCATCTTCAGCTAAAGACAAAAGAGAATGTTGGGGGTAGTGGTTTGGGCTTCAAAGGAGAGGAAGGCAATTCACAATGAGATTGAAAAGCAGATGTTTGGTAAACAACTGTTTCCATGCCTTGCAGAGATAATGGGATATGGAGAGGACTCTGATCTCTAGGCCTTGCTGAGTCTCCCCCACCACACTTAGCCCATATTCTTGGTAGAGATCCCTGGTGATTACTCTGTTCCTGTTATAGGTCATTTATCTAAATTCTTTTAGGCAGTTAAGGAGGTAGTAACAAGAAAAACTTTCTGAGTCTGTTGTTTCTTAAAAATAATTGGTCTAAAATAATCCTCGTTAAAGAGACACATTTTGGGGTGGCAGATTTTGTTCCCTTTCACTATAATGTTCATCAAATATACAAGGACATTTTACTAAAAGTATTGTTTTTGTTTCTAAAACTGGGTGAATGGAATGAGTCTCATTAAGGGAAACAGTTAACAGTTTTATTGAGAAGTACTGGATTCCCTGTTGGAAGCTGGAATTCATCCGATAAGTATTTCTTGAGTCCTAATTATGCATTGGGCATTGGGGATGCACAGCTATGAATAAAACAGATCTCTGTTCTGGAAGCACTTATAGGTGTCTCCATAGGAGTTTGGAGTTTCCCATCCAGAGTTGCAGGAGAATTTACATTTGTTAAACTAGAAAAAATTGTTTATTCCTTTATTAAAACGTTATGTGTTACCTGGCTAACTCAGAAGTGAAAACCACACAGCCTGAGCTGCAACACCAAGGAGAGCCAGGGACAGTGAAATGTTGTCTATATGTAAGGAAGCATAAAAAGAGAAAGCATTTATTAGGATATTGCTAATTATAGTTTATTTAGCCTTAATTACTACTATTATTGTATACATTCCTTATCTCCAGCTTTAAAAAAGCCCTGCACCAGGCAGGTTTTTAAATTTTCTTCTCAGTATCATTTTATCCCTTAGGCTGGGAAGCATCAGCAGAGGTGTTAAGCAATAATAGTAGCATTTATTATTTTCATTTTCTGATAGTAATAAAACTAATAATATTTTGGTTTCTAAACTAGTTCTAATATATGCCCAACACTGTGCTAGAAACTGGAGATATGCAAAACTGAATTTATGGTCTCAAATAGCTCACAGGGGTAGTATCTTATGTAGGAATTGCATTGCTATAGGGAAAAAGGGAATATATTACTAGAAGAAGACGCTTATGTGGGAGACTGAATTTTTTTTTCAAGGCTAATTTGAAACTGGACATTAGGGACACATACCATGATTTTGTGAACTATGAGTGCTAAGGGGGGAGAGACAGTGTAAATGCTCAGAACACAGTAGAGTAGCACAGAGGAAAAGTCAGAGGCCTTTGATGGAAGATGTAAATTATGAGGCCTGTATCCATTCAGAAAGAGTAGAGTATTTTTCAGATGTCTTTGTATGCATGTATAAAGATCTATGGCTTCGAATTTGACTAGATTTTGTTTGTTTTTCAAAATCTTTTCTAAGAATTGCCCTGGTGGAAAATATTCCTGAAGGCCTTAACTATTCAGAAAATGCACCATTTCACTTATCACTTTTCCAAGGCTGGATGAATTTACTCAACATGGCCACAAAGTCTGTTGACATAGTGTCTTCCCATTGGGATCTCAACCACAGTCATCCATCAGCATGTCAGGTAAGCTGCATCCTCTATGTATGTGATGATTTTACTTGTGTGCATTTTACACTCTTTAGTATTCTGGTCCTCCACTCCTCAAGTTCAAGCTCATTGTTTTAGTCTACCTTCACCCGTAGTACATGGACATCATTACATTTAGATGTATGTGCCGTTGTTGATCACATGTCACTTAGCTTCTGTTAGAATGCAAGGCTTTCAAGGGCAAATCATGTTTCATCTTTGCATACCACAGGCTCTCTAAACAGCATGGCTGTATTGGACAACTTCGAGGGGCACCATTCACATCATGCTATCTGTTGATGGCACGCCTCAGTCTTCTGCTTTCACGACCTGCATGTTTACAGTTCTAATTCCATACCTGCCTGCTGAGGCATTTATTTGGTTAATGCGTGTCATAATTTGCCCTTAGGACCCAGAGCCAACTTTTCTTAATAGTGGAGTCAAACTTTCCATTATAGAGGTTATCCTCTCGACTCTGTCGTATTTGAGTGAAGACGAAAAAGAAATGTGCTAAGTACAAAAACAGCTTTTAGAAAACTGACTGAATGATATAAATGATTTCTGAATGAAATGTCCTGGAGAAAGGAAAATGATCCTGGCCAACTTTAGTGTGTTTTTCTTTATGTGGTATGACCATGAGTTTGTAGTGAGCTATCGTGGCTGTTTTCTCCAAGTATGTGACCACGGCCTATGGTTAAATGTCCTGTATGGGTCAAGGGTAAATTCAGTTTTGTCTCTTTGTATACGAAATGTGTTGTCATTAAGTCTATAATCATTACCTCATTGTGCTTTGAAATCTGTTATTCAGTTATACTGTTTTAAAGTCAAATGATATCAGAAAATAGGCAAAAACAAATAACAACCTACAAAGGCCATACTAAAGAGTTGAATAAATTTACTAATTGTTTTCTGCCCTTTTCTACTGATTATATTTAAGTAGATGTTTCAGGAAGTTATCACTGCATAGATCATCCTAAAACTTAGTGATCTAAAAAGTAACAATCACTTATCTATTCATGATTCAGGGCAGGGTTTGGTGGAAAGAACTCGTTCCTGATCCACACAGTGTTGGCTGGGTTGGCCTGCCTGGGGCTGGTGGGTCCAAGATGACTCTCCTTATATATCTGGCATCTTACCTGGGGTGGCAGGAATGTCTCGGGGCTGGCTGGACTTCTCTCTATGCATGTCTCTCATCATTCAGTAAACTACCACTCTTTACACAGTGGTTGTGTCCTAAAAGGGCAAAAGCAGAAACTGTGAGGCCTCTGAAGACCTGGGCTCTAGAATCCCAGAATGTTGTTTCCACCCTATTCTCCTGGTCAAAGCAAGTCACAAATCCAAGATAGGAGGAGTAGTGTTCATATGGGACTAAGGAGAATTGTTGGCAAGCATCTTTGGAAATTATTTACTAAGTCCACTCTGGCCATAGTATCATCTCTTCCATGTGCAAAATGCACTCCTCCCACCCTCCCAAATTGCCATTGCCTTACAGCAAAGGCTCAAAGTCTAGGATCTCTTCATCTGCATCAGGTCTGGGTCTGGACGAGGCTCTTCATGGGGGCTTCTCTTGATTTGGAAACCTGTGAACTGAAAAGACAAGTTGTGTTCCATCCAGCGTACAATGGTGAGACAGGGATAAGATGAATACATGCTTCTGTTGCAAAGAGGAGAAATAGAGGTCACAACACATATCAGTCATGATACGATAGTAATTTTGGAATCCAGCCCTGCACATGTCACCAGTTTTCCAAACTTGGGCAACAGGGAATATTTCTAGACCAGCATCTAGTTCTGCTCCCGAGGAGCGCTTTCCTAGCCCGTTGTTCTCGGGAGCTCTTTGCTCCACCTCTGTGTGGTTCTTCCTTTTCTATGAGAAATAGCTGTGTTTGCTTTGGATGTACTTTCTTAGTTGGCTTCCTGCCGGTAAAAATCGGAAGCCCCAGAGGCTTCTTTTCATCTTAAACCCTCTCTGCCCCTTTTAGTCCAAAGTGATCCAACCACTTAAAAACTTTGTAGGCTTTCTATGTACCTAATTATAACCCACTCTATTAGCAAAAAGTCACACCCACAAATAATTATAGACGGATCTCCCTCTACTTTGGACTGTGGCACAAGGTGCTTCAGGGCCTTACCCTTAAAATTACTGGAGCCCTTTTTTCTGGCTGAGAGGGTCTGTGGGGCACCCACCGCTTTCAGTCTTTGAAAGGTCTCAACCAGGAGTCTCCCAGCCAAGACTTTGATTTGATCTTTGCCCTCACGCCATTTCTTACTTTGAGAATATTTTGCTGAATTGAGAGACTGTCCTAAATTCTCTACATTTTCTCAAAATTCTGCATGAAAACTAAACAGTTCTTTCTTATCAGATGTCACTCAAACTCTGATAATCTGCCTGAACAATCTCCCCAGCCAGATCCACATGCCCATTAGTTATGTTTTCTATCTTCTCCCTTATAAGTAGTGTTGCCAAACATTCTACCATTACTTTCTCAAGGCTCTGAAAGCAACTTCTTTGCTGTTCTTCCAGCCTTGAGTAACAGAATGAGACTGCAGCCTCCACCACCACCCAGTCCCAAGGCCAATGCCACCTGCTTTAAGTTTTTGCTACGGTAGTTTCTATTTCAATTATCTCTTGTGGCATAACAACTCCAGAGCTTATTTATTATTATTTCCTATGATTCTCGGGTTGGCTGCACAGTTGTTTTGCTCCAGTCGTGCTGGCTGGGATCACTCATGCAGTGTGTTTAGCTGGGAGCGGCTGAGATTGGACTGTCCGAGGGCTGGTCAGGTCTCATTCTCCCCAGGTGCACTCTCATCCCATAATCTACCCCTATCTTTTTACAGGGCGGCTGGATCCCGAGAGGGTGAAAGCGAAAACTGCAAGACCTCTTAATGCCTAGACTCCCAGAACATTACTTTAGCCACCTTGTGTTAGTCAAAGCAAGTCACCAGGCCAGCCCACGTTTGGCAGGGGGCGAGGGAGGTGGGAACAGTAGACTCCAGGAGGAGCATGCATGTGTATGACTTGGAGGAATTGCTGGCAGCCAACTTTGGAAACAACCTGCTATAGTGGGTTTGGTAGTGTGAGGAGGCGATAGTTCAAGTTTTATTTCCTTAGCCTAGACACGACCAGCACATGGCCTTTGGACAGGAACTGCAAGTTTTAGTTTGACTTTGTGAGCTGTGCAGTGTGCGCCCATGCTTGTGAGCCCCGGGCTATCAACAATTCCCTTCCATCTCGTGTGCATCACTGAAGAGCTGAGCCAGGTGTGTTAAACACACGGTGGGAAGATTGCATTTACACTTGGACTTGGCGAGCTGGATGAGCTCTTTTCTAATATGCTGTGCCTCTGGAATGATGTATTTGTCTGTCTGACTACAAAGTGATCTTTGCTAAGTGGCTTCATTTTTCTCCTAGGCTACTGTTTCTCTCTGACCTTGCCCTCAACCCTGGTTGGCTTCCAGCATTCCTATAATTGATATAGATTCAAAGTTGGTTGAGCTTGGAGGTCCTAGGGAACCTGCGGCCTTCAGGGGTGCCCATGAAGTCCATTTGCAGGATTCAAGGGAATTCTGGGGCCTGAGGCAATAGACAGGAGCACACAGTGAGTCTGGTCAGCCCTGGGGACTGGTGTGCAATCTTTCAGATGGCTTATCGGTAAAGCAGAGTCCCTGGATGGGCGATCCGGCCCCTTCCTTAAGGTGGACATGATGCTCGGGAGCAGCCTGAAGCCTTTTGGCCTCTCCTTCCCTTTAACCTGACCTTTCATCCTAGTCCTTCAGGTGTGAGCTAAACTAAACTCACTACTCAAACTTTTCCCTGGGACCAGGAACCTCTTTATTACCTGGGAGCTTATAAAAAATGCAGAATCTCGGGATCCACCCCAGCCCTTCTTGAATCAGCATCTCCATTTCATCAAGATCCCCAGGTGATTAGTGTGCTAAAAAACGTTTGAAAAGTGCTAGCTAAACCATTCTGACCTCTGGCTCTATGAGCCCAGCAAACTCTCCTAGGTGTTCAGACTGATCTGGTGGGAGATGGGTGACTAGGGAATGACACAGCCTTTCTGGGTCATGGTTCCTGATGTTAAGTCATGGTCAGTATTCAGTGCTGCTCACAGGGCAGTGGAGTCATGGATGAATGAGGCTCCAGGTCTGTTTTGCATGACAGTGCTTAGCACAGTGCTTGACACATACCAGGTGCTCGGTAAATACTCGTTGAGTAGTTGTTGAATGGATCGTGTCAAAGATAGACAAAGCCAGACCTAGTTAAAGTGGTCAGGAGAGATTTTAATCAATAATGTACTATGGCAGTAGCCAAGAGGGAATGGAGAACTGAACTCAACGTGGATTTGTGCAGAGACAACTGGGCGTTTTACAGGAAGAACGAGGAAGTAGGGAGGGGGAATGGCAGAAGCTCGAGCAGGGCCAGGGAAGTAGAAATTTATGAAACGTGGGAAGCGGGGGTTGGTCCACAGGAAGCCCACCTGGGTTTGCTAACTGACACTCATCAAAGTTAGGCTCCTCCCTCCCGCAGAGGCTGGGAGACCGGGCTGCATCTCCAGGTGTTGGCTGGAACGGACAGTTCATTCTCTTGGCAATCTCCAGCTCTCTCAGGCCGGCACTGCAGGGAGTCATCCTAAGGATACGGCCTTGAGCTGTTAGAGACTACGTGAACGTTTGTTCAAGCCCTTTACACTTGGGAGGAGGCGGGGAGGCAGGGCAGGGTGGATGAAATCATTTGTGCTGAGAGTCGGCAGTTTTTATAGGCCAAGGTTGAGGCCTGGAGGAGAAGAGGGCTCAGAGGAGCCTGGCTAGAGTTTGGTCAAGGAAAGACTATTTGTCAATTGTGTGACTTTAAAATGAATTGAAGTGGTTGTTATTGATGTGGAAAGAAGTTAACACTTAGAATCTCAGTTCAAGTCACTCTTGATCAACTGGCTTATTGCTAACGCATGGAATTTTTCACTCTTCTGCCTCTCGCCTGGCGAACCTTGAAC